GACTGTAATTTTGTAATGCATTCTTTTCTCTTAAAGTTATCTTAGATTCACGTCTGTATAACAGCCTACACTGTGTTATTGTGCGTATGTGCTTGCTTAAGAATTTCTAGACAATGGATCTGGACTGTATAATGATTTATCAGAGTTATTATAAAGGCATTTCACTAAATAGATATTCTGAGAAATCAAGATTAGTGCCGAAAACTAGAATAATTGTGGCTGCCATTTATCTCTGAGCTATTAATGTATGTCAGAAGCTTTTATGCACAATATGTAATGTCACTTGTAGTGTGAAACTCATTTTATAGGTGAGAAAAGATGGGCACAGAAAAACATACTTTGCCCAAAGTAATTTTGGTGTTAAAATGACACTTCTACCGTACCATGCTTCCTTTTTCTTTGTCTTATCAAGTATCTACTCGCCTTTCGTTTTCAATTGTTATCATAATTCCAGAGAGATAGATCATAGTTTCAAGTGAAGATGTCATTCAGGCACTCATTATGTGGCTTAACACTGACCAGTTTTCCTTACCAACTAGAAAGTTGAACAATAAACTCCTTGGTAATCTAGATGGCTGATATTTTCCCCCCTAAATATATCGTAAAATGTTATTGAGCCCATATGGTCTCTAGTATTACTTCATAATTAAGATGCTTTTGACCACTGGAAAAAACAACAGGAAGAGAAAGGTCACTCATTGAGGGCCTGTCCTACAAGAACAGCTTACGTTCACACTCCCAACTTCTGAAAAGCTACTTTAGACTCCTGAAATATGAATTCAAATGCACACATGCTTTGTAAAAGACTCCTGACAAAGAGGAACCCATCACATTTTTCGTAAGATCCAAATTTGATTTAATGATTTCGTTTTTTCAATTCATTTTACCCCAGTTCTTCAGCTCTGTGTGATGACCTGGCTACCTAACTGGTATTTTTTATTTTGAGCCCAGATGTGTGTACCATCCTCAAGTAAGGCCAGGTCGGGGAGTATGGAATTGTACAAAACACGTGAACATGAAGCATCATTAATTTTCTGCTAATAAAAACTACTGACAGTGCTCTTTTTGGGTTGTTTTATTATGTGAAGAGGGATGTGTCTTCAGAGAAATGAAGGTGTTTGCATTGGCTTTGCTTGGATTTCTGCTTTGGTTGGCTAATGGAATTAGAATGAATAGGTTTTAGGTTTTCAGCAAATAAAATCAAGTGCAAATGTTTTCTAAGAACATTATTGAGTGGCTTAGAGTATTATCCCTTTGGGGGTAATCATTGGCTGTGGAATTTCCAGGATTGTGTTTCCATTATAACATTGTTTTCTAATGCAACAACCATAAACAAATGATAGATAACAAGTTTTTTGGTACTAATGGCAAGAGCTAGAATTAGTAAGCTGCATGTTAAATATAATAATTAGAGGGCTTGGCTTCAAATGATAGACATGAATATGTCATAGAGATATAAATGGCAATACTAGAGAAACACATTCTGAGTAGCTAAATTACACAAAGGGTCTAGGATAAATTGAGCAAATGGTGAAGGTGATAAAAAGTTCTGGTAAGGAGGGAAGAAAATACAGAACATTCAGATAAATATCCTTATTTATCCAGTACTTTTCCTTATTAATGGTGAGTAATCATTTAAAACCATCTTTCATGATTGAAGAAAAGAAGTGGAAATTCTCTACACTCTGCAGAAGACCCAGGCTTAGTAAGACCTAGTGTCTTTCTAAACAGAGTGCCAGCAATATTTAGCTGAATTACATAAGCAGTTTTAGAATTCAGTATATCAGATGCTTCTTATGGTATATTTCTATTCAGGAAAGCCTTAAGAGAACATTTGCAAGCATGGTCCTGAGTGAGCAAGGCAGCAGAAAGTGTGACAATCTGAATGAGCCTTTCATCACTCTCTGAGGAGAGTCATTGCTTGCACTTACGGCTTCTAAAAACTGTTACCTCAAAGTACAGGTTCTTTTGAATCTTGTGGCCACAGATCCATATTGGGACCATGTTTAGTTTAGGAACAGATGGGAAACTTTAGCTTAACTTTCTTCATTGTTAGTTGTTTTATAGTACATTATTGTTTTTAATTGTAAAAAAGTCTCTATTTATTGTTTTGCTTAGCCTACTTTCCACTTTTGAACTCTTCCCACCTTCTCTTTTTATTTTGTAATGCACATAGTTCCCCCAACTTTTTATTATGGAAACTTTCAAGAAATAGAGAAGTTGATAGTACAATGATCAGTGTATTTTCAGTGTGTGTGTCTGTGTGTATGTTTTGGTGGAACCATTTGGAAGTTGGAGACATGGGCATGTCACCCTTAAATACTTTAGTAAGAATGATGTAAAAATATGGCTCTTCTTCTGCACAACCATAATATTACATTATGTAATGTACTTTTAATAAGAAAGTTATTATATGTTTTGTATTGGTCTCAGCCTATTAACAGTGATGCTATCAGCTAGGAATGCCTGGGGGCACTGTGGCAGTCCCTGACACGAGCCCGTGTTGTGTCTGGAGTGGCCCTTGTGGTTCTTATGATGGCATGATGCACCTCAGCGACAACACCTGGAAACTTTGAAAAAACAGGATTTATTATTCCCAAGTTCTGTAGGGTAGGGGCACTCCCAGGGCCACATAACAAGGCAGGGAGGGAGGGGACAAGAGCCGGGAGGGAGGGGTGGGGGGGGAGAGAGGAAATATGATTGAGGACACCTGGGATTCTTCCTTTATTGGGGTAAAGTGTGGGTGCCTAGGGTTTTGCAGGTTCATTGTTTATAGGCAAATTTAAAACATAAGAGGGGAATTAAAGCACAGAAGGGAAAGCAGGGTCACTCAAGTGGTCAGTTATCTAGGTCACCCAGGGCTTTCTAAAAGGGGGACTTCATCGGGGGGACAGCCTGGCTTTTTATCTAGTTGTGTAGCTGGCAATGTGTTTATTAGAGATGGATGCCTTTGAAATGGACATCTCAGCAATTAAAGGCTTAATGTCAAATGTACTGCATGTATTTTAACATGTATTCATTTTTGTATTTTAAAGACTTGTGAAAAATTTAATGGAAAAACTGCAAGTATTCATCAAGCTTTCCTCCAAGAAAATACCCTGACAGCTTTTGTTAGGGTATTAACACCAGTAGATTCCTCTTTCTAATGCTTGGCTGACATCACAGGACCTTTCAATATATGTTATGAATATATGGCAACATGAAAACTAGAAGAAACAGAGTGCTTACTTCTCTTTGCTATTTTTTGGCATAAAAATATAAACTAATTTCTTTAATGGAGTGGTTGTATGGCTGTCCATGCACAGCCCCATGAATTTCTCATGATTTCCTGTGAATCAGTCAAGCAACAAAGTTTATTTAAATGGATGCTTTTTCTCAGGGGAAAAAAAGTGCCTTCACAATGTACTAGCTTATAATGCCACAAAAAAGTTTGATTGTGATAGTGCAAAATTTATTTTTTTTCCTTACTAAAAGTAAGGTTGTATGACAGTCTACTTTTCATAATTAAGATTGTTATAAATGTTATTAACATAACTACAAAAAGCTTACTTGTTTGCTGAAGTCTTATCATAAATAGTTTACAAGCTTTGTCAGAGATAAATTTGTCTTCTGGTGGACATAGTAACTGCACCTTAGGGTGATTCAGCAACAGAAGAGAAGTAACGTCAAACTCCAGGCCCGGCAGCTTCTGTCTCAGTTGTGCTTTTGGTCTACCTTTTAGGTATTACAAATGCTGGTAGAGTTCTTGGAGCAAAATCTTGCCAAGGTTTGGAAAGTGCCTTCCTAACAAAATACTGCTACATACAATAGTTGTATCTTCTCTGCAGTCTGGTGCTTTTGGATTAGTATGCCAACCAAATTTGTCCCAAGTCTATTTATGCGTAATGATGAGCAAATCTATGTTCTTCAGCACTTCACTAGAAAGGATTTTACTCCTTGAGGAAAAATACCCCACCTTATACTTTTTTGTGTATCTTACACTATAGTCTCTGTATTAACTACTTTGTGGTAATGTAAACTGCAGGTTGAGCTAGACCGAATTAGTATATGTGTGTGTGTGTGTGTATGATTGGTTTTACAGCAAGAGATGAGTAGAATTTTTATTAACCCTGTAATTATAGTCCCATTCAAAAGGAGAAATCAGAATGAATTCCAAATTTGAAAAAAAAAAAAGTTGGAACATATGGTTGTGTAGATATTAAAATTTAAAACTTTTTTCCCACCACTATAAAAACTGATATGGTAAGGGAAAATTATTTGCATCTAGAGGTTGAATAGTAGGGCAGCCTACCATCTGGGCTCTTTTATAAAGGACACGGAAAAGCTGTGCATGCCACTTACATTTGCCTTGGAGAAGGTGCTAATTGTCAGTTTAATGTTCTTTTTCTGTAAAAAGCCTATCAGAAAACTGTGATCCTGTATTTTCTGGATTACTCGTAAAGGTTTACCCAAAACCAAAACAAATTTGACTACCCCTCATTCTAAAGACTAAAGTGCCAGTAGACTTGGTAAAACGGTGGCAAAATGTTGAAGGTATACAAATCTTAATTATGGATAAATTTACCATGCCCCACCTGGGGTACTGCCTGGTAAATCCATTAGAAGCAAAGCTGTCCCACTTTGTAGGCCAAAATATAAAATAAAAAATAATTTGTGTACATATGTAGAGATAGGTAATTTCCATCAGGACTTTTGCTTTAAACAGTTTACCAAGCAATGTGTTTCTTAGTTTGCTACTGCCATCTACTGGTCTACTGAAATACTCAGAAAAGAGAATTAGGCCTGTTTATTTATTAGAACCCTTAAAATATTCTTTACTGAGGATAAGAGCATTTCCTTGAGGTCCATACAGTGTTTACTTTGTAGTATGCTTTTAGAGAACAGACTCCATATGCTTTTAGAGAACAGACTCCATAAATCTATCTCCACTATCACGATGTGTTACTTCTCTGTTTCAAGTTTCTGATCAAACCTTTTTTCCCTTTGTCTTCCCTTCTCAGTTTAATGGATCGAGAAGTGGCATTGCTCGCTGAAATGGACAAAGTGAAAGCTGAAGCAAGTAAGAATGATCTTTAAGTAAAACTATTACCAGTTAATAGGTTCTTGCCTCTCAACCCCTATAGCAAAAGCTCAATATAAATGCCACAGAGTTTATATATTTGGTTAAACAATCTTGAGCAATTGTACTGCACTGGTATATGGATTTTTTCAGGCAAAATAACTTTAAGGGCTATTCTCAAAATATTTTCAAATTTTAATATTTTGGATGTAAAGTTCCTTATATAAGAGACTTTATTGTGGTATCTGCCACCACAGCATGAACTTAGGAAAATAAAGTCTCCCACTGGCACCTTTGGTTTGTTTGTTTGTTGGTTGGTTTGTTTGTTTATCCAGTGATTAAAGAATTTCTTTGGCATAGTCAGAAGAGACTTTACCAGGTTGCATCAATTTAGTGTATACATTCATGTCATTACCCACCTCAGAACGTTGTTTTCTTCAAAAGGGCTGTTCAACAGCCCTTTTGTAGAACAGCCCTTACTCAGTGTTTGTTATTATTGGGTAGAGGAAAAGTCGATGGATGGATTGAGAGTTCGAGATACCTTAACTAGGGTTCCTTGAAAGCTTATTAAAATAGATTCTGGAGGAATAGAGTCTAACTTGGGTAATTTTTGAGGTTTTGTACAGAAGAATAAATACCTGTTTTTCGTAATTTCTATAAATATAGTTTAAAGATGTACCTACAGCTATATGAAAAGAAGGAAATGTCAACTGCACCTTACACAGTGGCATTAATTTGGGGCTTTTCAGCAGCAGGTTTTACTTCCATGCATTGAATGCCAGATCTGTAATTAAGGAGGCTGTTTTTTTGAACCTGCTCTTAAACTGGTAAGAATGGAAAAAGGTTGAGATGATGACTCACAATTAAATCATTTGTGTCTATGGTCATGGACCAGAGAAGGCAACTTCGAAACACTGTGTTGAATTGAGTTTTGATCCATTTTAACCAGAAAGGTTCAATACATAGCAGAGATTTTACCTACTATTTTTCAGAGGTAATATTTCATTTAAATTGAGTGGTATATCCTGAAATTTCGAAATGTGACAGTTTTAGTCCATTCGTCTGCCTGTGCGTTCGTTGTATTCTTTTTGAAGATGAAGGTTCAGATAACAAAAACCTAGTACAAATACATAGTCCTTACTTTTAATGTATTTCAGGTAGAGAGGCTAATATAATTAACCCCTATCACCTTGCTTCAACCAATATGAATTCATTGCCAATCTTTTTTTTTAATCAAATTCAGAGCTACAGTTTTACTTAACTTCATCAATTTTGTATCTATGTCTCCTTTCTCCCATGCTAAAAATTCTGGTTTTCAATGACACTAACATAATTACGCATTTACCAGTATTATCAGGAAGGTGCTGCTTTCTAAGTTTACATTATAGTTTTATTAATTTATATGTATATAATACTTCACAATTCAGAGTTTTTTTACTCATATATGGTCTCATGTCAACTTTATGAAGTACTTAGGGTTTCCTTTTGTTTTCCATTTCATAAATGAAGAGAAAAATATGGCTTGTCTAAAGTCATACATAATTAGGTTCTCTGAGTTAATCTGATATGTGTAGAAATCTTTACGCAACACATTTTCTCCATCTTAGAACCCTAGAGTGCTGGAGCTGAGAGAAAGTGAATTTGATACAAACAGCAAGTAGGTTCTATCTTGGGAGGCAGACCAATAGATCATTTGAAGCTCTTGGGCCTTGGTGGTTATTGGCACATTCCTGATTTATTGGGACAGTATGCCCTTACTGATTAACCTGACATGAGTATGGGCAGCCCGTGGGTGGCATATATGTGGCAATTGGTAAGAAAACTTGCTAAAGAGGTTCAGATCCCTGTAATACCTGGTGTAGCTCTTTGAAATTTCTATTTATAAAATAAATGTGGTTAATTTCTCAGTAGAGTAGTATAACAGTTAGGAATTAAGTTTGATTACACACAACAGAGTGGCCTAAATAAATGTGAGTTTATTTTTCTCTCATGAAATGAAAGGTCCAGAGGTAAGTGATCCAGGGCTAAAGGGCGTCTCCAAAATGATGTGAGGGACCCAGGCTTCTCTGTCCTTCTCCAGCCATCCTTGGAGTGTGTTTATGGTCAGAGGCTCCTTTCAAGGAAGGGCAAAATGTTACATGCCGGCTAAGACTCCTTTAAAGAACTTCCCTGTGAACTTTGCCCTGTGGGTTCTGCTTAGAGCTCGATGGCCAAACTGTATTACCTGACTGTGTTATCTGTAGCGGAGTCAGGGAATGTAGATTTTACCTAAGCAGGTTGGTGCCCAATAACATTGAACTTCTGGTAGGAAGAAGAGGGGAATGGATAAGCAGTCCCTAACAGTCTTTGCCACAGTCTGTCTCCCAGTATCCCTCTTTTTCCCAAAATGAGAATACGCTCACCACCTCCTCAATGGCCTCACCTACAAAGTCTCATCCAATTAGTATATACAGCTGAAAGTCCAAGACTTCTGGGGAATTTCCGATCTTTCAGCAGGTCTGGATATGGCACACTGCAGTCTGGGGCCCCAAAACTGAAGAAAAGTTGTATGCTCCATCCTCCAATATTACACCGATAGAGAAAGAAGAGATAATTATAGTAAAAATTCCTACTCAGAAAAGCCATGATCAAATCTTACTGGACAGGAAGAGCAGAGCCCCTGCCCTGGCGGAAGAGAAGTTTCCTTGGTCCCTCTGGCAGCCCCTGGTTCTGCTTCCTGGGAGGGGCTCTTCGGCCCATGTCCTCTGTAGTCCCGACGCTCTACTCTGAGAGGGTTTTGTTTTTGTTTTTGTTTCTGTTTTTAAATTACTGTTTGGCAAGATGGCAGTATAGGCAGACATGGCTCGCCTCTCCATGCAACCACATCAAAATTACAACTAAAATATAGAACAACCATTACTCAGACCTGTCAGAAATCAAGTTGAATGGGAGTCTGACAACTACAGAATTAAAGGAACCTCATCCATCCAGACTGGTAGGAGGGGCACAGACATGGAATGGGCCGGTCTCACACCCTTGTATGATGGGTAAAAATTCGGGAGGGATATCTTGGGAGTGAGGAGTCCCAGTCTCATACCATGACTCCCAGCCCAGGGTTCCAGTTCCAGGAAGATAAGTGCCACAACCCGTGGCTGCAAAAACCAGTGGGGAATGAGTTGGTGGAAGAAACTTCTGGAGCCCCAAGCAGTTCCTCTTAAAGAACCCACACACGAAATTACTTATTCAGACTCACTCCCTCTGAGCTCCAGTGCCGGGTTGGCAGTTTGGAGGGCAGCAGTGGGATACTGGGAGAGGCTGAAGTGTCTGGCATCAAGGCAAGCAGAGGCCATTGTCTCTTTTCTGAGCCCCCCCCCCAGGCAGAGCCACAGAGCTGGCAGGCAGGTGGCATATATGAGACTCCCATCAACCTAACACTGTTGGACCTGCCATGGAGATCCCCAGAGGCTCTGGCCCCCCAACTTCAGACCCACCCTAGCTCTTTTCCATATGAGTGGCTGGTCTTAGCTCATACTGCACACCTTCCTAAATCCTCTCAAACAAGCAACAACTGGCCTCAGTGAGCTCCAGGCCCGGCATAGCAGCAGCCAGCCAGGATTCACAGCTTGTTTTGCCTGGGAATCTCCAAGCACAGCACATTGCTGATGGCTTACAGCTCAGGCAGGGTGCTGCAGGCAAAACACAGGTTGGGGCTGACCTTGACCTACACCACCCAGGAAACCCCAGAGCCAGTGCACCCAGTGGACAGATACAGACCATATCAGAGCACCACCACTCTACCCCTGCACAGCTGATCCTTTATAGAGGGCAGAGGTTGGTGGTTAGTGGTCACAGCCAGTCCTTGCAGCTGACTGGCCTTGGTAAATCCCTCCCATTGATCTGCCAACAGCAACCAAGTTTCAACTACAAGAGAAGGGTGTACTCAGCCCACACAAAGGGCACACCTCGAGTACCCAGCTTGGTTGATAGGGGAGGCTCTGCCACTGGACCCTACAGGACACCTACTATAGTAGGCCACGCTACCAAGACACAGAGCCAAAGCAGCTCTACCTAATACACAGAAACAAACACAGGGAGGCTGTCAAAATGAGGAGACAAAGAAACATAGTCTAAATGAAAGAACATATCAAACTCTAGAAAAAGAACTAAATGAAATGGAGATAAGCAATCTATCAGATGGAGAGTTCCAAACTCTGGTTGTAAGGATACTCAAGGAACTGAGTACCTCAGCAGTGTAAAAAGGATTCAGTCAGAATTTTCAGTCAGAAAGGATACACTACTTTAAATAAAGAACAATTTACAGGGACACAACAGTAGAGTAGATGAAACCGAGAATCAAATCAATGATTTGGAACATAAGGAAGCAAAAAACAACCAATCAGAACAAGAAGAAGAAAAAAGAATTCAAAAAAATGAGGATAGTATAAGCAACCTCTGGACTACTTGAAGAGATCCAACGTTTGCATCGTAGGGGAGCCAGAAGGAGAAGAGAAAGAGCAAGAAACGGAAATGTTTGAAAAAATAATGAAAGAAAACTTCCCTGATCTGGTGAAGGAAATAGACATGCAAGTTGAGGAAGCACACAGAGTCCCAGACAAGATGGATGCAAAAAGGCTCACTCCAAGATACATCATAATTAAAATGCGAAAGGTTAAAGATAAAGAGAGAATCTTAAAAGCAGCATGAGAGAAGCAGTTAGTTACCTACAGGGGAGTTCCCATAAGACTGTCAGCTGATTTCTCAAAAGAAACTTTGCAGGCAAAAAGGGACTGGCAAGAAATATTCAAAGTCATAAAAAGTGGGGACCTGCAGCCAAGATTGCTCTACCCAGCAAAGCTGTCATTTAGAATCAAATGACAGATAAAGAACTTCCCAGACAAGAAAAAACTAAAGGAGTTCATCATCACAAAACCATTATTATATGAAATGTTAAAGGGACTTATTTAAGGAAAGGAAGATGAAAACTATGAACAATAAAATGGCAAAAATACATATCTATCAACTATTGAATCTAAAAAACAAACTAAGCAAACAAGAAGAACCAAGAGAGAATCATGGCTGCAGAGAGCATTTTGATTGTTGCCAGATGGGAGGGGGCTGTGGGGAATGGGTAAAGAGGAGAGGGGGTTAAATACAAATAGGTAGTTACAGAATAGCCCTGGGGATGTAAAGTGCAGTATAGGAAATGAAGAGGCCAGAACTTATGCACATGACCCATGGGCATGAACAATGGCGTGGCGACGCCTGAGGGAGTGGGGTGTGCTGGGTGGAAGGGGGCAAAGGGGGAAAATCAGGACAACTGTAATAGTATAATGAATAAAATAGAATTAAAAAATAAAATTATTACTTTTTTTGTCCTTCACAGTCATATCTGAGTTATAATCTGGGAGCATGCCAAAGAAGATGCTGCTTAACAGGCTGTAAATGACCTAAATATTCATCATTAGGGAACTAGGTAAATAACTATGGTATATCCATACAGCAGAATACTAAGTGGCTGTTAAACAGTGAGGGAGAGCCAGTGAATTAGTAAGGATTGAACTTCAAGAAGTATTAAGTACAAATAGTTAAAGTAAATGAGGAACCATGCATATGATACATACCCATGTGTGAGGAGGGGAAAAGAGAGAGAAATATGTTATATATGCATAGAATATATTTGGAAGTATACATAAGAAATTAATAGTGGTCTCCCCTGGGGAAGGGACCACAAAGTCAGAAGTAGGAAGGACACTTTTAATTTTGATTTCATATTCATTTATTCTAGGTAAGTATTTTCTTACCACTTGTTCGTGGTTTTTGTTTTAATTTATGTGCTTCTTGAAAAAAATTTCTTTGCCTAGAAAGATGAAAGAGAGAAATGGCAAATGATTTAGGCATCTTTATGATTCCATAAAGTGTTCACTTTTAACTGCCCTCAGAGTCCCTCAGGAAGGTGGAAACCGGACCTTTGGTATTTCCATTTTCTGGATGGGTAGGCAGCTGAGCCTTTGGCTGTCCAGATACATACTGCAAGGCCTATACTTCCCATTCTTCTTTATCTTATTGAGCGGACCATAAGAATTATACTGCCTTTTCCCCTACAGTGGAAATTTTGCTCAGCCGACAAAAGAAAGCTGAACTTCTAAAGAAGATGACTGATGTGGCCGTTCGAATGTCAGAGGAACAGTTGGTTGAGCTCCGAGCTGATATCAAGGTAAAATTTTCTTCTCCTTTCTGCCTTTCTTCTTGTCCTCGGAGACTGAGGTAGCAGGTCTCCATAATTCATGGCCATAGTTAATATATTGAACTCATGATCGTCCTTTTCAAAGCCTTGCCCTCCTTCAGGTTCCCTTTCTTTGTGAGTGGTACTGTCATCTGTCCAGCTGTCCAAGCTGGAAACCTTACGAAATTTCTCCTTTCCTACCTGAAATCTTATCAGCAGGCCTTACCTATTTGAATTTCTACTGAATCTCAGATTTGACCTTTTCACCACCACCACTGTTCATGATCAAGTTACTATTATCTCTTGCTTGGTCTTCTGTAATAGCCCCTTAACTGATTGCAACCATCCTCTTTGTCACTGCCCTACCCTCTACATCCCTCCATCCCTCCAAATCTGTTCCTCACACTGCAGTAACCCGCTTCAAACTTTCCATTGCTCTTAGGATAAAGATGACAGTCCTTAGCATGGGCTGTAGGCCTCTGCATGGTCTGGCTCTGCCACCATCCTCATTTTGTACCGTGCCCCCTCCCTTCCTTATTCTCAGCTCCAGCAATATTAACTTTTCCTTTCCACAGACGCATCCTGTTCCCTCCTGCTAGAGGGCTACTGCAGGCGCTGTTCTTTCTATTCAAAATACCCTTCCCTCCCTGCCATTCCCAGCACACACAATCACTCATGACCTACTCATCCTTCCTGATTTTTCCTGTCATATCTCCTCATTTTGTGCCTTTATAGTATAGTTATAGTCCATGTACATTAGAATAATCTGTCATTTCCAATAGATTGTGAACTTTATGATGGCAGGAACTGCTGTCTCTCCAGTGCCTAGCATAGTATCTCGGCACATAATAGGTATTCAGTAAATATTTAAATGATTGGTTAATTCTGATTTTATAGAGAAAAATGTGATGTGAGATGTTGGTTACATTATAATCTATAATGATTCCTTGTGTTTAATACTCATACATTTCATTTTCTTTTTTAACTTTATTTTTCAATTACATTTGACATTCAATATTATGTCATATTAGTTTCAGGTGTACAGCATATTGGTTGACTATCATATAATTTGCAAAGTGATTCCCCTGATATTTCAAGTACCCACCTGGCACCATACATAGTTACTACAACATTATTGACTGTATGCCCTATGCTGTACTTTATGTCCTCTTGGTAACTACCAATTTGTAAAAGGTGAAAGATTTATACGATCAGAAGAGAAACCAGAATGTAACTACCAATTTGTATTTCTTAATCCCTTCACCTTTTCCACACAGTCCCCCAACACCTTTCCCCTCTGGCAACCATCAGTTTGTTTGCTGGGTCTATGAGTCTTCTGTTTTGTTTGTTCATTTATTCTGTTCTTTAGATTCTGCATATACATGAAATCATATGGTATTTGTCTTTCTCTGTCTGACTTAGTTCACTTAGCATAATACCCTCTAGGTCCATCAGTGCTGTCACTAATGGCAAGATTTCATTCTTTTTATTGGCCAAGTAATAATACTCCATTGTATATATGTACTTCTTTTATCTACTCGTCTATGGGCATTTGGATTGCTTCCATATCTTGGCTATTGTAAATAGCACTACAGTGAACATAGGGATGTATATATATTTTCGAATTAGTGTTTTGAGTTTCTTTGGATATATACCCAGAAGTGGAATTACTGGGTCATAAGGCAGTTCCATTTTTAATTGTTTGAGGAACCTCCATACTGTTTTATGTAGTGGCTGCATTAACCTGCATTCCCACCAACATTGCACAATATTGCCAAAATCCACATCTTTGGCCAACAGTTGTTTGTTGATTTGTTGATGTTAACCATTCTGACTGGTGTGAAGTGATATCTCATTGTGGTTTTAATTTACGTTCTCTGATGATTAGTGCATCTTTTCTTATGTCTATTGGCCATTTGTATGTCCTCTTTGGAGAAGTGCCTGTTCAGGTCTGCCCATTTTTTAATTGGATTGTTTGTTTTTTGGGTGTTGAGTTGTCTGAATTCTTTATAAATTTTGGAAGTTAACCCCTTGTCAGAGGTATCATTGGCGAAAATGTTCTCCCATTCAGTAAGTTGTCTTTTAGTTTTGTTGATGGTTTCCTTTGCTGTGCAAAACCTTTTTAGTTTGATGTAGTCCCATTTGTTTATTTGTCTTTTGTTTCCCTTGCCCAAGATGATACAGCAGAAAAAATATTGCTGTGAGAAATGTCAGAGTAGACTGTCTATGTTTTCTTCTAGGATTTTGATGGTTTTGAGTCTTATATTTAAGTGTTTAATCCATTTTGAATTTATTCTTATTTATGACATAAGAAGGTGGTCTAGTTTAATTTATTTGCACATATAATTCCAATTTTCCCAACACCATTTATTGAAGACTATCTGTATCCCATTGTATGTTCTTGCCTCCTTTGTCAAATATTAATTGACTGTAGAAGTGTGGCCTCTGGGCTTTTTCTTCTGTTCCATTGACCTATGTGTCTTATTTGATGCCAGTACCATGCTGTTTTCATTACTGTTGATAGCTTTGTAATATAGTTCAACATCAGGTAGTGTGATGTCTCCAAATTTGTTCTTCTTTCTCAAGATTGCTGTGGCTATTTGGGGTCTTCTATGGTTCCATATAAATTTTTGGATTATTTGTTTTAGTTCTGTAAAATGCCATTGGTATTTTGATGGGGGTTGCATTGACTCTATAGATTGCTTTGGTAGTATGGACATTTTAACAATGTTAATTCTTCCTATCCAAGAACACAGCATATGCTCCTATTTATTGGGTGGGGCAAAAATAGGTTTGCAGTTGTAAGTAGGCAAAACAGTTTATTCTTGTATTATTATTTATTTATTATATTATTTTCTATACAAACAACTGTAAATCTACTTTTGCCCCATCCTGTGTTTGAATCTTCTTCAGTTTCTTTCTGAAGTGTCTTATAATTTTCCAACTACAAGTCTTTTACCTCCTTGCTTAATTTTATTTCTAAGTTTGTTTTTTTTATTTTTAATGCAATTGTAAGTGGAATTGTTTTCTTACTGTCCCTTTCTGATAGTTCATTATTGGCAACTGATTTATGAGTATTTATTTTGTATCCAGCTACTTTACTGAATTCATTTATCAGTTCTAGTAGTTTTTTTGGTGGAATCTTTAGGATTCTCTAACACTCATACATGTTAAATTCTTATTTAAAGAACAGATGTTTCTGAGTGTGGAAACTCAAGAGAGGTTGGGATATTCATTGGTAGTTGTAAACACTGGTGTTCTAAATAATTGTTTAAGACTTCTGGTCAAGATGGAGGCGTGGGTAGAAGATATACTATGCCTCCTCGCACAACCAAAAGAGGGACCACAAATTTAAAAAAAAATTACCAGAACTGCCAGGAAATTGAACTGTATGGAAGTCTGACAAACAAGGAGTTAAAGGAAAAAACATTCATCCAGACTGGTAGGAGGGGAGGAGACGGGCAGCCAGGGCAGAGAGGACACATGACAAGGCAGTGGCTGGCAGACCAGGCAGTCCCACATCTGTGTGGGGATAGACCAGGAGGAACAACTGGGGAGTGAGACAGACCATGCAACCCAGGGTTCCAGGGCAGGAAAAGAAAGCCTCAAAACCTCTGGCTGTAAAAACCTGTGGGGTTTGCAGCAGTGGGAAAAACTCCCAGCCTCACAGAAGAATTCATTGGAGAGACCCACAGGGTCCTAGAACGTACACAAACCCACCCACTTAGGAATCAGCACCCAAATGGCTCAGTTTGCTTATGGGTAGTGGGGGAAGTGACATGAAGTGGTGTGAGATACAAGCAAGCGGCATTGTTCCCTCTCGGACCCCACCCCGACATACAGCACCACAACACAGGAAAGCAGATTGCCCTTCTCCCTGACGAATACCTAAAGCTCCACCCCTTACAGCATAACAAGTGAGCTGAGACAAAGAAATATGGCCCAAATGAAAGAACAGATCAAAGCTCCAAAAAAAGAACAAAGCCACGAGGGGATAGTCAGCCTATCAGATGCACAATTCAAAACACTGGTAACCAGTATGCTCACAGAAATGGTTGAGTACAGGTGCAAAATAGAGGAAGAAGTAAAGGCTATGCAAAGTCAAATAAAGAAAAATATACAGGGAACCAAGAGTGAAGGGAAGGAAACTGGGACTCAAATCAATGATTTGGAGAAGGAAGGGATAAACATTCAACCAGAACAGAATGAAGAAACAAGAATTCAAAAAAATGAGGGAGGAGAGGCCTAGGAACCTCTGGGACAACTTTATACGTTCCGACATCTGAATCATAGGGGTGCCAGAAGGAGAAGAGGAAGTGCAAGAAATTGAAAGCTTATTTGAAAAAATAATGAAGGAGAACTTCCCCAATCTGACCAAGGAAACAGACTTCGAGGAGATCCAGGAAGCTCAGGGAGTCCCAAAGAAGTTGGAGCCAAGAAGGAACACACCAAGACACATCATAATTATATTACCCAAGATTAAAGATATGGAGAGAATCTTAAAAACAGCAAGAGAAAAGAAGACAGTTCCCTACAAAGGAGTTTCCCTAAGACTGTCAGCTGATTTCTCAAAAAGAAACCTTGCAGGCAAGAAGGGGCTGGAAAGAAGTATTCAAAGTCATGAAAGGCAAGGACCTACATCCAAGATGACTCTATCCAGCAGACCTATTGTTTAGAATGGAAGGGCAGATAAAGTGCTTCCTAGATAAGGTCAAGTTAAAGGAGTTCATCATCACCAAGCCCTTATTATATGAAATGTTAACAGGACTTATCTAAGAAAAAGAAGATCAAAAACTATGAACAGTGAAATGACAACAAACTCACAGCTATGGACGACTGAACCTCAAAAACAAAAACAAACTAGGCCAAACTAGGCAAACAATTAGAACAGGAACAGAATCACAGAAATTGAGATCACATGGAGGTTTATCAGCCGGGAGAGGGCAGGGGGAAAGAGGGTAAAAGTACAGAGAATAAGAAGCATAAATAGTAGGTACAAAAAGGGGAGGTTAAGAATAGTATAGGAAATGGAGAAGCCAAAGAACTTATATGTATGATCCATGGACATGAACTAAGGGGTGGGAAATGCTGGTTGGGGAGGTGCAGGGTAGAGAGGAATAAAGGGGAGAGAAAAAAATGGGACAACTATAATAGCATAATGAATAAAATATATATAAAGAAAAAATTAAATGTTTATAAACCATGAACTATATGAACAAGGAGAGTTGGCATTCCCTACTCCTGCACCCTTAACTTCTGTTCTTCTGAATACATGAGATTTATTGCCATATTTAAGAGGCATACTTGCTGTGGAAGCTGTATAACAGCCTTTGTAAAATAAAAACATAGATGGAAGATCACCTAAGGCCTTACAAGTATCCTTGTCATCATTCTGACCCAGTGTTTCACACAGACCCTAGGTCATGTTATTGTTCTCTCACTTCTTAGAGTCTATTGGAGTGAAATAGCAAACGAATGCAAAATTTAAGTTACCATTTTCTGATTAACTAAAACTATATTACAAAAATTTTTTAAAAGATTTAATATTATTTATTTTTAGAGAGAGCAGTAGGGAGGGAGAAAGAGATGGGTTGTCTCTTGCATACATGTGCCCCAACTGAAGACTGGGCCCAGAACCCAGGCATGTGCCCTGACCGGGACTAAAACCAGTGACCTTTTGCTTTGCAGGATGATGCTCAATAAACTGAGCCACACTGATCAGGGCTGTATTACTAAATTTTTTAGAAAGTCGTCTTCACATTGATGCAAGTCAGCCTCATTCAGCTATCTGGGAGAAGTCGGAAACCCCTTTGGAATTAGACGAGAATTCTGGCTCTCACAGGCTTCATCTGTTCTCCTTCCCACGTGGTTGAAAAGCTGCTAGAAATATTTCTGCAGGCTGACTAAGGATCTGTTTCTCTCCACATTTTCAGAGTACTGAAGTGGGTGCTATGCAATTTAAATGTCTTATTTCCAGATCATTTTATTTCCGTCATTCCTGTTATGGTTTTGGCTCAACAAACTAGAATTTGTTTCAGACTTAATCTCAGACTGATATTACATTTCTGAAGGCTTTGTCACAGAGGCTCGTGTGCTTCCCTGGGCCACAATATACTCTGAAGCTTTAGGGCTTCAAGGGCCAGAGATAATTTTTATTTCTCCTTTCCCTTTCACTGCTTCTCAAGGGTTCTGATGCATTCATTTATACCCCTTGAAAATCCAAAGTGGGATTAGACCACTGCCAGTTAGAGGACTATTCTAAGGATCTCAGTTCTTCTAAATTATATCTAGAAGAATTATAACTTTCCTTTTTCATCTCCTCATCTGAAAAAAAAAAAAAAAAGTGATTCCAGGCTACCTTAGAAATTGTTTAGTGAAATAAATTCCCAGAAACACTTTATTTCTAACGTGTATTTAATCCTGCAGTTTCTGTAATATAGTTTTTACCTAAGGGATTGGTTACTTTTCAGTTCAGTTGGTTTAAAAGGATTAAATTATTTGCAGCATAAACTTCTCCTTTGTAAAGCTGACTTTTCACATGAATGATTTTCCATCTCAAGAAGTTGTTTCTATTTCAAGCGCTAACAAATCCTACTTTATAAAGAGGTGAGGTGGGTTTCCTAAAGAAGTTTCCATCTATTTAAATGTTGTAACTTACGAACATTTTTGCTGCTGTCTCTGCTTCTATATAAAATGGAATGATGTAGAGAGCAGCCAGCAGTGGAAAGGTGGCCCTCTGCTATAAATTCTTTTTCCTTTCTCTACAGTTTCTCTTGATTATACTTAGTGGGCTTTGACCATCATACTGTTTCATAAAGCTCCCAAATAGACTTATCTTTGGGCTCTGAAGAAAATGAATTTTGTCAATTCCCAGCATTGGTAATCGTGTGGCCAATGAGTAAACTTTGAAGTAGTAAAAAGAATTCAATTGAAAATAATTCTGTTTCATTCTTACATAGCAAGCTATGGATTCCATGTATACTATTTGTCTCACCTGAAGGCTTTTCTTTGCTCTTTCTCCAGCACTTTGTTAGCGAACGTAAATATGATGAGGATCTGGGACGAGTAGCCCGGTTCACCTGTGACGTAGAGACCCTAAAGAAGAACATTGATTCGTTTGGACAAGGTGAGATAGTGGGAGATTCTGGGCACTGGAGATAGTGATGAGAAGACCACACTCTACTAATTAGACTCTCAGGAGCAGATTGGCTTCTCTGCTGATTCTTGAGTGCTCTTATGTTTTTGTTTGTTTTGCTAATTTTCATGAAAAGTAGCTCCGAGATCTTTAAGAAGTCAGTGGATGTAAGTTGCTTTGAGCCCTGAGGATGGGCTTCCTAAGTTTGCAATAAGATTTTGTTCATCCATCTTGGCTGATCTGAGAGGTATATGATATGCAGTGTAAACAGCATGGAGCTCTGGAGTCAAACCACGTTTGAATTCTTGCCTCCACACTGACCTTTGGGAACATCATTTTACTTCTTTCCAAAACAGAGATAACAATACCTGCGTAGCCTGGCGTATAATAGGTACTTTAAATAATACCTTCAAAGGGGGCAGTGCCTCTAAGTTGAGAGTTTCTGTGACACCAACCAGCTCCTTTGTTCTTCCCATCTCAGTATGAAAGTGAAATATTGAAGGCAGGGCAGTGATTGTGAACTCAACATTAGCCCAGGCTTAATGCCAAGAAAAAAATCTAGAAGGCATCATTAAACCATTAAATTTGGATAAAATTCAAATAGGAAATGTTAATATATTTCAGCTTGATTGGTGTTTTGAATTTGAGATTATTTTTGCAAAAGAACCTTGGGAAGTACATGTTTGTTGTAAAGACTAGTTCTATTCATATTAACAAATCTTGATTATTTATATTGTGCATCATTCAAATTTTGTAAAAAAGATTCAGCTCTTTTCCCTTTTTCTTTCTTTGCAAAGTCTGTACTTTAGAGCAAGGGTCCCCAACCCCCTGGGCCACTGACAGTATACAGGTCTGCAGCCTGTTAGGAACCAGGCGCTCACCTGAGCTCCTCCGCCTGGCTCCAGCCTGCCCCTCCCCCCCACCCTTTCCAGGCCAGTCCACAGCAGGAGGCAGCGCTGGTGAGAGGCTGAGACTGAGCTCCGCCTCCTGTCCCCGCCCCCACCGGCCTGGAAAAATTGTCTTCCCGAAAACCTGTCCCTGGTGCCAAAAAGATTGGGGCTCGCTGCTTTAGAGTATTCCTCACATAGGAAACTAAACATGTGGCTTATATTATTATTTCCAGGCTTAGACAGCTGCCAGAGCTAGAGCCAGTTTAGGTAGTAGGAAGTGTCAAGAAGTCATTAGTTGGTGGGGGGATGGGTCACTGATCTGAAACTGTTGTCCTATCTCTGAGAGTTCCTTTACAGTGCAGTGGGGATTTGGAGGGAGTAGAGGAAGAGGGCAGAAGGGAGATTTTCCTTTTTGTTACCCATTTTATAAGCTTTTCTTTGTAACTACTCAGGTAGACAGTTCTTTATCTTAAATTGCTCATTGTGAAATGGGGAAATAGGGAACCTTACGTTTCATGCTCTTTCATCATTTGACCATGTATTTCTTACATTTCTGTTTCAGTGTCCCATCCAAAGAACAGCTATTCAACCCGGTCCCGATGCAGCTCAGTTACGTCTGTGTCCCTGAGTAGCCTGTGTGATGTCTCTGCTGCTTCCTCTTCCACCTGTGCCTCTGCTCCCAGCCTTACAAGCACTAACAAGAAAAACCTGGCACCAGGAGAGACTCCTGCAGGCATTGCAAACTCCAGCGGCCGGCCCTACCAGCCTCGTCGAGAGGTAAGCGGGCTTCCACACTGAGCTGGTGAAGAAAGCTACCAGCTTGTGACTGTTTAAATGCTGACAGCTCTCAGTACATTATCTTCCTCTCTTTATTCCCATTCCACACCTATTTTGAATCTCTTGAGCCCCAGTTAGTTCCAGAGGAAGCATTTGGTATGTATGTTCCAAGCCACCAGCCAGTTTAGATTTCCTGTTGCCAAGACTGCTGACTTTCTGATGTTGGCAGTCATCCTGGCTGTCATAGGTAGTACCGCCTGGTAATTAGTCACACTGGGAGTCCTGCACCCATCTTGAGGTAGGTAAGTACCACAGCATTAGGTTCACCAGAGTGAAGCAGCAACTCCCTAGAAGCACAGCACAGAATATAACAGGGAGAGAGAGAGTGAACCTGGTGCAGTGGAGAGTGAACACTACAAAGCTGAAGCATAATCCAGAGTTCATTTTCCTTGGTTTGAAAAAGGTACACAAGTGCAATTCAAGGCAGTGCTGGCAGTAATTCTTCAGAGCTGGTATTACATTGGAATTGGAAGACAAAAATAAAATCCCGTGCCATGAGCTCTCTGGGTTGTAATGTAAAAATGTACTACATGTCACAGCAGCATGATTGAATCTGTGTTCATGATATATAGCAAAGCAGATCATAATGATGTTTATTTTATTTTAACAAATGTTCGTTATCTTTACAAATTGCTTTTTACCTGTTAAGTTCAGAGATGTGATAAGATACTTGCCCAATTGAGTGCTTGTAACAACCCAAAGAATGTTCTTTGTTTGTCTTCAGCTTGTGCCCAGATAAAGAAAAATGAACTGCTCTTCAGTGGGGAAGAGCCTAGGGGTGAAAGACAGGGGGAAAATAGTGAAAGATTGATTATTTCTAATGTAGTGGCTAGGTTGAAGTGGCTGGCAGAATTCCGTGAGTCTTGAGAGATAACCGAGTCCCAAGCATGGAATACTACAATTATGCTATCAGAATACTCCTATAAACTAAACTGGAACAAATGGAGTACCACAGTGCCAGAGTGTTTTGAACATCGTATTCTTTTATCCTTAGGTGTTGCTGGGGAACAGAAGAGGAGGACAAGGCTACAGGCCACAAGGCCAGAAGTTCAATGACCCCACAAACCAAGGGCAACAAGACAGTGCGGGCCGTTACAGAAATAGCTCATGGTATTCGTCTGGTTCCAGGTATCAGAGTGCACCATCCCAGGCACCAGGAAATGCTAGTGAAAGGGGCCAGGTTCACTCTGCAGGGACCAATGGAACTGGAACCAGTATGGAACCCAGCCAACCCAAGCCCTCGTTCAAAAGGGGCTCCCCCCAGCGCAAACCCAGGACCTCTCATCCTGAAGCTGTGAACTCCTGAGGGAAATTCCAGTTGATCTCTCTTGTCTATCCCACGCAATTCAACTTGGTAACTGGACTTTGGGAAACTTATAGTTAGATTTAATAACAAAAAGAAATTTTCGCATATCACTTTTTATGCCATTCTAAATATTTTTGGTTTTTTCTTTCCTGATTTCCTCTTTACCATTTTTGGAGAGGAAGCTTTTTTTTCCCTTGACCTTTCCCAATGATATGAATTAACTCTGATTGGTCATTTCTACCAGGAATCATGGGCAACCATTGCCAGGTTTCCCAAGGTTAAGCAGGGTTCTTCCCAGGGCCCCAGGCCTTTCAGCTGCCCGAAGAAGCCTTCCTCAGCAACCCCCTACTGTTCAGGCGCTCGAGGAGATGAATCAGGGCTAGTCCTGTTGCCTTTCCTGTCTAAGCAGAGCCACACATGGCATGTCGTGTTTGCTCTAAACAACAGTTTTATCCAGGAGAGGCAATGAGGGGATTGTATTAGCCACACTGAATTAGCAAGAGAAGGAGAAATTTAATTGGTGAAGAGGAAAGAACATTAGTAAATATGTGATAATCTTCCCCTCCTCCCAGAACGTGCCTGAGATTGACACTCAAATCAGCGTCTCAGTCTCTTGCCTGGCGCAGTAGCTTAACCTGCAGTTTCTATTACCTTAGACAATAAACCAGTTTTTGGGAAAGTAGCATTTAATTAAAGTTAAAAAAAGGGGAAAAAATTCTTTGTTTTAATGTTTGAAGATTTTTGTTGTTGTTATTCTCTCTCTATTTCCTGAATTGTATTCTTACCCTGAACCAAATTTATAGCAATGTAATTAGTGTTAATCTAAGGTGTTACCCATCAAAAAAATTGCTGCAGTCTTTATAGTTGAGTAAATAAAAACAACTGCATAAATATTCCCACATTTGTTTCCCAGCAGCAAGTGATTTCATTTCATTTTCTGTTTTTCTTTGGGCCTCATGGGGTAGAAGTCTCTCAGACAGCTTGTTTGGGGCTTAAATGAGGGTGTCTGATGCCTAAGTTGTCTGTCCACCGCTTAGCTTCAGAACCAAATTAAAATGTGAAAGGCAGGATGAGCAAATGCAGCTGTTCCTGTGGGAAAGATTCATAGGATAGGGAATGGTGACTTTCCAAAGGAGAGCTTACCAGTTTAGAAAAACCACAGCTGCCAACAGCTCTCCCAGGCAACCAAAGGTTATATCAGCACCCCTCTCCTTCCTGCCTGTCTCTTGACAGGAGTAGTGAATGTAACAGTATAATTGAGCTCCCGCATGTAGCAGGTGGCATTGGTGCCAGACCCTTCCACCCTACCCCCACTCCCAGCATCTATGATTTAATAACAGCACAGCTATTTATTTCTCCAGCATTTGTTCTCCCAAGTCTGAAGCACAGACTGCAAGTGGCAGTGGTGCAGAACTTAGCTGCCTCAGGGCTTCCCCTGGCTCTTTGGATGAAGCTGAGCTCCCAGAGTTCAGGTTGGTTGAACAGATTGTGAGAGAGAGAGAGAGAGTCAGTCAGTCTTTGAGGAATGAAAACAGTAGCGAAGGAGTACCGGGAAGCCATTTTCTAAAAGGCTGATCACCTCATTTTGGAGAATTTGTCCAACAACACCATCCGCCTGCTGGGTGTCAGGAAAGAGCCTTGCTTTTCTGATAATTGCTAACCTTACTTTGTAGGAAATCCGCAGATTGAAGCAACCTTGAAGGATTATGAGGTCTATCCCTGTATCCAGGGAAAACTGTATTTAACCACCCATACAGACGGGAAGCCACTGTTTGTCAAAGCTGTCTTTAAGTCAAAATTAAAATCTCTTTATAGAAAAGTATTTGAAGTTTTTTCTGTGACTATAAAAAGTTTGAAAATTATGATTTTTCTACATTTTGTTTTTAATTACAAAAGTAGTATTTAAAATATCAAATAATACAGAAATGTAAAAGAATAAAGTTAAAGCTTCCATTTTCAGGATTAGTAATGATTATTAGTAATTTGATTTATACCCTTATAGACCATTTTCAAAGCATATATGTGTATATACACATGAATATACAGATTCTGTTTTTGTTTTGTTTTTATAAAAAGAGATCATACTGTATGTGTTCTACAATTCTTTTTTTACTCTTTCATTCATTTATTTATAATCCTCATCTGAGGATATGTTCATGGATTTTAGAAAGCAAAGAAGTGGGGGAGAGAGAGACATTGATGTGAAAGAGAAACATCCATCAGTTGCTTCCCATACGCGCCCCGACCAGGGATCAAACCCACAACATTTTGGTGTACAGGATGACACTCCAAACAACTGAGCCACCCGGCCAGATCGCTACAATCATTTTTTTAAATCATGTCTAAACCGTAGTTCATTTAGGGTCTTCTGTTGTAGATATTCTCCTAAATTTGCCAATTTGACTTTCTTCAGTGAAAGGTAAGTTAGGTTTGTCTTAAGTTTGAATTGTGCAGCCCATTCCTTGCTCCCTGTAATAAGTAGCTCTGGGATTCCCAAGAGAAGGGAGGCTCCAAACTCTGGGCCACTTCCACTGGCTGGTCAGAGAGGTCCTACCTAATCATCACATTTCCTTCCTTTTCCATCTCCTCTTGGAGACCAATATCTTACCCTTTCCTCCTTAGAGATAGAGACTTGAAACTTCGAGTTCCTTAGCTTTGGCAGTTACGTGCCACTTGAAAGAGAACATTTAAATTAGCATGGCTTCATTATCAACATCAGATATTTCACAGGCCGCTTGCTTACTTATGGCAATTCTTAAAATTCATTTTTTAAAAAAAGTAATACAGTCTAGGTTTTTAAAAAGGTACAAAAGAATGCATGATGGAAAGTAAAAAAAATCCTCCCCTATCTTGTACTGTTAATAAGTTTCTTATTTATTTTGCCACAAATTTTCTAAATTCAAACATGCAAATATATTTTTCTTTTATATAAATGATAATCTATTCATACTTGTATACACTTGTTTTTTTCACTTGTCCTTTTTATAACTAGTTTTTGTTTTGTTTTACAAAAAAAATCAATATATATAAGTGGTTAAAATAAAATTTAAGCAATTCAAAAGCACGATAAAAAATAAGCCCCCGTCCCACTTTGGACCATTTGTCCCACCTGGTGAGGTGGGACACCGGTGAGGGTTATATCCACATGGCAGCACGCTTCATGAAAGAAACAGGTGTCTAGGTGTCCTCACTGGTGTGGCTCAGTTGGTTGGGTGTAATCCCATGCAGTAAAATGTCACTGGTTCGATTCCCAGCCAAGACATAGCCTGAGTTGTGGGTTCAGTCCCCGGCGGTAGTGCCTGCGGGATGTTTCTCTTATCACTGTTTTTGTTCCTCTCCTTCTCCCTCCCTCTCCTTTCTCTAAAAATAAATAAATTAAATCTGGTAAAAATATTTGAAGAAAGAAAAAAGAAGTGTCCAAAATGGTACATGTATGGAGGTCACCAACTGATACAAGGAAGCTATTTTGTCCCTATTTTAACCAGTTCAGAGTACCAGACCATAATGTTGGTAGCCAGATCACATTCTGTAAAATCAGTTAAGCTTGACTTCTGGTTGCTTTAGCCACCTAAGCCCATTCTTTCCTTCAAACATTGAGGCACCTACTGTGGGCTAGGCAGGCTCTATGCTGAGTTCTGAGTCTACGATGAATGATTCTCTTACCTCAACCACTATGCAGGTGAAGGAAATAGAGTTCTTAGCTCTTCCTTAAACTCCTAGAAGCCATGCCTGGTATCTAGGCAGTGTGGTACAGGGGAAAGACCCTGGACTTTTGGATTGTAATTCTGGCTGCACACCTTGGTAGCCATGTGAGCCACTAACCTTGGGCAAATAACATTTTTTAACCTCTTTGGGAAGTATAAAGTGGGGACGATGGCAACTACTTCATCGTTATGCCAGGTGGTATAGAACAGTACCCTGGGGTTTAAGTCAACCAGGGTATGACCAGTTGAAAAATCACTCATGTGACTCTTTTGCGTCTGCCCTGTTAAAAAGTGATGAAAGGCTGCCCTGACCAGTGTGGCTCAGTTGGTTGGTCATTGTTCCACATTGCCAAGGGTTGCCAGTTCGATTCCTGGTTGGAGCACATGCCTAGGTTGTTCGTTTGGGTCCCTGTTGGGGCATGTGTGTGGGAGGTAACCAATCAGTGTTTCTCTCTTCCTTCCTTCCCCTCTTTCTAAAAAATAAATATTTTTTAAAGTGATGAAAGACTTTCCCTATCTCCAGCCATTCAGGCCTTATCAACTAAAAAAAAAATTCAGTTCTCCTATTCCTTTTGTAGCTTTTCTCCCCTGAGTGCATATCCCCTCTCATCTGTCTGCCGTAACTGTCAGAAAAGTGCACCCCCACCCCCAGTCTCTGAGCTCTGTGGAGGGGGCTGGCCGGATGCTGACGGCACTGACCTGGATCAATGTACTCACCGGAGCAGCAGAGTGCCAGAGTGAAGGGGGGGGGGGGCAGGGTTTCCCAGGGACAGGCAGGGAATGTCATTTCCCTACAGGTGCAGAGGGTTTTATTACCTATGTTGCTACTCCTCGCCAAGGAGGAAACACTATCTGAAGATTTTTCGGGGGTGAAGAAACTCACCCACCATCGCCACAACTAGCACAACTGTTCTCCAGCCCGCCCACCCGCCCCTTCACTGCCGTCAAAACAGCAGGAACAAATACCAAAATACCACCCACTCTGATTCCTTAGGGAAAAGTCAGGTCTCCTTTTTATGACTCTCTTCAGTTTAACCCAGTTAGGCTTTCTCTGTAACTTGATTTCAAACAAACCCATTCCTGGTGCTGCTAGAACACAAGATTGAGATTTCTCAGACTCACTCCCTTGCTGGCTCCAGGCAGGATTGTGGTAGTCCACCCTTGGGCAGGCAGAGCCTACAGTCCAGGCCCAGACGTGAAGTCCAGGTTGCTGTTTACCGTGGACACTCACTACAGGTCACTCTCTGACCACTCATCAAAATGACCATACTGTTACCTTTTAATAGGTTTTCTACCAAAGAACAGGACAAAGCACCCCAGCAGTGTGGCACAGTAAGATACACTGTCAACGTAGTCAAATCTGGCTTCAGACCTGGTCCCTCCACTACTAGCCATTAGAAAACGGTTTATCTGTTAATAAAACTATGTACTTCCCAGGATTCCTTTGTTCGAAAGCTTATTGTGGTTTTTGCACACAATCTAGTATCATCCACTAAAAAACAAACAAGAAATGGTTTTGTAAAGTATATGATTAACACCACTGTGCTGCAACACCTGAGCTAATACAAAATGATACTGAATATAAACTGTAATTTAAAAATAAAATTTAAATAGTAAATAATACTGCAGTAAACCTCACTGAACATAAAAGGAATGGCCTAAAGTAGGAGTGAAATGGCGGCTAAGTACTGGAGGCCTCAAAGTATTTCAAAATGCCTTGTTTATTTTAGTGGGGAAGGGGAACATTCAATGAGGCTTCATTTTGAGCTCATTTCCATGGTCCTGGCACCTAAGGCAAGAGCAAGTGCCCAGGTGAACTTTTAACAACAATGCTACCACTTTCTGAGATCAACAATCCTCTGACAAAGGATCATTTCACAGATGAAGAATCTGATGCTCTGTGAAATTAACACCCACCCTGCCCCATCCCTGCCCAAGGTCACTGACCCAGTCAGCAATAGAGTTAGAATGGAACCCAGACTAGCCTAACTTGAAAGCCTGAGATCTTCCCACCACGTAACACAGCCTTGGAAGCAAAGGATGGCCACACTGGCCGAGAGACAGACCTGGGGATCTCCAGAAAGGCAGGTGGCAAGAGTAGGAAGAGGGGAAGAGAAGGGAGGGGCCCCTGGGCTCTTTTCCTCGACAGCCACCTGTTCTCACCCACACTGCACACGGTGACTGACTCCCCCAGCGCCTGGGGGATGGGGGCTTTTTCCATCTTTTGTATCTTTGAACATTTTTTCCCCTTCGCTTTGCTCTGCTCTTCTCTCTCTCCTTATTCCTTTTGTAGATAATACTCCCACGGGCCTCCCACAGCAGCTCCAAAACGCAGCCTCCTGAGTTTCTTGTTGACAGTGGCTTTCAGCTATCTCTGAACAGGGCTCCCCCTCAACCTTCCCCTGCCTGTGA